TTGGACATTTTTTTTGTAGTACCCAGGAAGAAAACCAGCGACTGAAAACATTATTAAGGTGTAAAATATTGATGATTTGATTAAGTAATTAACCAAATGACTTGATGGATTATTATTTATTATTTATTGGATAACTTTCAGGTTTTTGACAATTATTCTTGGCTAGCTATTTTTGGCAGGTAAGTAAAATTGTTAAAGTTACAATTCCTCAATGTTTTATCTTCTAAATCTTTAGCTTGATAATAATGAGTATTTCTCTTTTGGTTTTATCTATTATAATTAATGGATTGGGATTTAAACAGGTAATTCGTTTAAGAAAAATCTTAGTGATTCTCAAAAACATATTTATGAACGATATTCACATTTTAGCCTGACAATGTCAATGTCTTGATGATTCCTTTGTCTTTACTTAACGCAGAACCTATGCCAGATTGTTTTATTGTTTCAAATAAAAGAGGTAAAAGCTAAATAGAAAGGTTTCTTAACTAAATGCAAAACAAGTAGAACACAGTGTTTCCACTTTTTATTAAATGTCAGTGAGAAGATTGATGAATATTAGAATAAATGAAAAATACTTTTTATTTGCATAAGAACAGATTTCAAAGTCTGTTCTTGTAGTATTTAGATCCTTCTGAATCTTATATCATTTTTCCACACCTAGAAGAGGTAGTAAATAAGTAATTCGTGATCCAAGTCTCCTCTTCTTGCAGTATATGATAGAACTGAAGTTTAAACATGGTTTTCAGAAAATATTGCGAATTTTACAATTATTTTTGGGGCATTTCTTCTGTGCAGAAATAAAAGATTCCTTTGTGAGCTTACCAAATTATAATTACCAAAATGTCACTTTTGTGAGCTTACCAAATTGTCATTACCAAAATGTCATTTTTGTGAGCTTACCAAATTGTCATTACCAAATTGTCACCTTACTAAATTATCACTTTTTTGTTAAAACCAATTTGTCATTACCAAATTGTCATTACCAGATTGTTATTACCAAATTGACATTACCAAAAATCCTCCCATCCTACTGGTGTATTTCTTAATCCTGCCAATACTGACTATGTATGTATATATTAAATAAATGTTAAAAAATTGATAAAAAATAATATATGAAAGCAATATTTTTTGGTTATTGTAAAGATATTTGCTAGACAGGTAATTTTATGCATTGATTCGTATTTATTATATATAAAGGATCTTCTTTTTTGAGAAAACTAGAGTTTAAGAAAATATATTTTAAAACCCCTATTATTAGCTTTCATTTTAGTGTATTCTGGAAGCTTATTACTCATAACTTGGGCGTTAGCTTGCACATTATTGACATTTGCTTTTTCTGGCAACCTCAGGTAACCTCAATTTTAATTTATTTTAAATTTCACAATTATTTTAAATTTCTAAATTATTGGGTACAGATCATACAGAAATACTTCTTCTTCATGTCCTTTTAATTTCCTCAGATCTTGACTAACTAGCTCCTAATAGACTAGATAATATAAACCTTTCAGGGTGCAAGGTCATTCTGTCATATTAACTCCCGAGTCAGCTTAAATGTGTTTTGAATGAGAAATACTATAGTCCTCACTGTTAAAGTCTAATCCCACATTGACAGTTTTTTTAAAGAAGATTAACCGAATTGCTATTCATGTAAAACTAATTAGATATCTTTTAATAACCTTTGATATTTGTTGTGTACATGTCAGAAAATTACTTTAAACTCTAGTTATTCGAATTAGTGTATAAACTATTTTGCATATGATAAATCTGCACCCTGATCACTAATCGTTCTCCTTAAATCTATTAAATTGAAATATTTTGTTATTATTACTAAAATTAGTGGAAAAAATAATCAAAACAGCCAAGAGCTATTTTCCACCTAATTGCTTTATACTTGTACTGTTAATATAATCATCAATTTTGTGATTGTAAACTCTATCTGTATACAGATACATTTATTTTAGCAATAAACTTTATCTTATCTTATCTTATCTAACCTGCTAAGTATGTTGACCCATCACTTTAGAACACGGGGAGTGTGACTTGCGCCCATCATTTTCAGAGGTCCGAAAGAGTATTCCAGTATCCAGTGTGAGGAGGGTTAATAACTAGTTTGTGGTATTAGATTCAAAGTCTGCTGAAGGCTCTGTTCCCCCCTTCAACCAGTATCAGATTGTAATTCATTCCTGATTATTTGAGTTTCTGTATTCCTTCTTTAATCTTTATTCTTATCTTGACTTGGATTAAATACGGTATCCACTCAGCTGTGGAGAGAAGGGACCTTAATATCTAGACTACTATAACTAGTACCACACACACACTGCTCACTCTCTTAACAGGTTTAAAGAGCTCTACTGACATCTGTCCTCTGGGAGGTTCAGATACACACTAAAAATGTAGAATTAGTAAAACTAACAGAAATCTGCTTAAATAATCAAATCCCTTGGCGACCCGGAAGGGAAAGACCTCAATATCAGAATTTTTACCATTTTCCCTCATGCTTTTTTGTCCCTTCCAGTCCCTTGATCATAAAACTAGTTTTTTTGTCCTGGCTCAGGCAGATATACAGAATTTGACATTATTATGATTAAAATTTTAGGATTTTATAGACATTTGTTTTAGAGCCAGACTTCTAGCTCCCTCATATGAAAATCCTGTTGATACTTCTGCCCAAATTGCTGAAAGAGAAATGGTAAAATTTAAAAGAGATACTTACTTTAATCTACACTACAGGATGGAGGATGTTGTTTCCATGGTGCTATGGAAACGCCTCAACACAGAAACGCTTCAACACGGAATCCTACCCAAAAAAACGGAAACCTCCCCAAAATGAATTATTTTGAGGTGATTCCTGTTTTTCAAAAATTGTGGGAAATCCCTGAAATCTAATTTTTAGAGGAATTTCCCCTTTTTTTTGATCGGTTTCCCCAACTTTTAGGTCAGATTCTGGTTTATACAGGTCTTATATTTTTGAGGGATTTCTTAATATTTTTAAGGGATTTCCCAATTTTTTCGATCTGCTCCCTCATTTTTTGGGTCTATTTCCGGTTTTCAGAAAAAGTTTTAAATTCTCAGTTTGTTGATCGGTTTCCCCTTTATTTGGGTCTGATTCTTCTTTTTTTGGGTCCGTTTCCGGTTTAAATTCTTAGTTTGCTGATCAGTTTCCTCTTTGTTTTTTGGTCTGTTTCCTCATTTTTTGGGTCTATTTCCGGTTTTCAACAAAAGTTTTAAATTCTCAGTTTGTTGATCGGTTTCCCCTTTTTTTTGAGTCTGATTCCTCAGTTTCTGGGTCCATTTCCTGTTTTCAAAAAGTTTTAAACTCTCAGTTTGTTGATATGTTTCCTTTTTTTTCGGTCCGTTTCCTCATTTTTTGAGTCTGTTTCTGGTTTTCAAAAAAGTTTTGAATTCTCAGTTTGTATATCAGTTTCCTCTTTTTTTGGGTCCGTTTCCTCATTTTTTGGATCTGTTTCCGGTTTTCAAAAAAAGTTTTAAATTCTCAGTTTGTTGATCAGTTTCCTCTTTTTTGGGTCTGTTTCCTCTTTTTTTGGGTCAGTGTCTGGTTTTAAAAAAATTTTAAATTCTCAGTTTGTTGATCAGTTTCCTCTTTTTTTGGGTCTGATTCCGGTTTTAAAAAAGTTTTAAATTCTCAGTTTGTTGATTGGTTTCCTCTTTTTGGGTCTGGAACAAACTGAAAATTTAAAACTTTTTTCAATAACCGGAAACAGACCCAAAAAAAGAGGAAACAGACCCAAAAAAAGAGGAAACCGATCAACAAACTAAGAATTTATAACTTTTTTTTAAAACCAGAAATGGACTCAAAAAAGAGGAAACCAATCAACAAACTGAAAATTTAAAACTTTTTCTGAAAACCGGAAATGGACCCAATAAAAGAGGAAACTGATAAACAAACTGAGAATTGAAAACTTATTTTGAAAATGAGTCAAATGTAAATATAGGGGAAACCAATCCAAAATATTAGGAAATCCCTCATCACTTTTTTTGTTTTTGAGGGATTTCCGATAATTTTTGAAAAAAGAAGGAAACAGACCCAAACTCACTTTTGAGTCTGTTTCTGTGTTGAGACATTTCCATAGCACCGTTTCCATAACTAAGTTAGAGAGTGAAACTGATTTGAAATATTGTTTGAAAATTTATCACCATCTAAAATATCTTTAAATTGAACATTTTAATAATGCTTTCCCTTAATAAAATGAATATATTGTCAGTATTTAAGTGTTCCTAATAAGGATAAAAAAATCTTGAAAACAAGAAAAAGTCGCTGCACTCCCCCTTTCCTCTGATGAAAGGTTAGTGCACTGCTTAGTTTTACCCTTCCCTCTAGCATGTACTACTGGATACTTCATTACTAACGACTTTTCAATACACTTTATTAGTATATATTCATCATTTGTATTTGTCTAAAGCAAATTACATTAAACAATATAAAAGTTTACAAACTAATGCTCTTTTTTTCTGGCTATCACATTTTATAATTGACAGGGTTTGCCAAAAAACAGGTGCAATAAAAGACTTTTAGCATGAGTATAGTTTACTAGTTTAGTTATTCAGATATGGTTTTCAGAAATAGAGTTTCTTGATCCCAGTAAAGTGTTTTTGGTTTTCTTAAAATTTTTTTTCAAAAACAATTGTTTATAAAAAAACAATTGTATAACAAACACTTGCTGATAATTTTTAAAAATGATTGTTGTTCAATTTTTAAAACAATCAAAAAACAAAATGAAAAATGATAGTTTTACTATGGATATGAAACTCTATTAGCAACCCTAGTTGCACCAAGATGTCACCTGTCATCTCCTGGATTTAGTTAGATCCCCTCCTGATGATCCTTTGTAATGCTCTCCTACAAAGATTAGTTTAGTCCCTGCAGAGTCTCCCTCTTCTCAGACAATTGGTCCTAGTGTCTCTCAGAGCTGATAGATAAGATGTTCATGCTGCTTCCTTAGGACGAGAAGCCAGGATTTTCCTTTTGAGGTTTGTTATAGGAGAGAATTGCAGCTGATGTTTGTGCTCACCTGCTCACTGAGTCATTTTCAGACCCTCAAGAAATGGCCCTGCTTACAGATGAAGTGTGGACTATCTGTGGTAAGTCTGGTGCTGTTCATGCTCTCTCCGATGAGTTCACTGAATTTAAGCAACAGAATTATATTCTATTCAAAGTAAGACATTAACCAATCTGTAATACATAAGTTTCCAACTGTAAGGGTTTCCTGTGAACTTCTTATTCACAAGTTCCTGTTTAAAGATGTTGGGTTTCCTGTACATTTACTGCTAGCTGGTGGGATCCCATTAGAGTTTTTGTAGCTTTTTGATTCACTCTTGACAGTGTGGCAAGCTGATAGACATCTTCATCCTCCTTCTGAGAAGCTTCATCTACAACTGTTACTGAACTTAAGTCGGCCATCATTATATTACATCATCTCTCCTACCCTTCCTCTACTTTGGAATCTTTGACTTTACCCTTTATAGCAGCTGTTCCTTAGAAATGGGAAAAATATGTCTCAGTGTCCTTTTCTTAGACCCATATTCCACATTAGGGTTACCTCTACCAGAGAATGGCAGAGGGTGTATGTAGATTTTACAAGATCCATTAAAGATTAGATTCTAAATTGAATCAACTTGAATTGTTAAGTTTAGTGGACACTCAGTATCATTTTGTAAAAAAGGACAACTAAAAAAAAAAAATTTAAAGTTAATTTAAAATTTGCTGTTAACAATTTATTATCAATTATTATTTATAACCTAGTTTAAAATGTATCCTTGTCCCTGAAGTTTAGTTTACTTATGCTGTATTATTAGTAATGAGTTAAACATAAATAGAAACATCATAGATTTTTTATTTCAATTTTCTTGAATTGCTGCACTTTTAATGTTAGGACTTAGGGCAATGATTAAAATCTAATTATCTATTTTCTGATATGTAATTAAAAAATAATTAACCGTTTCTAGTATATAGTCTGGAATATTTTTTCTGGAAATGGAGGAATTGTACAGTACAATTATTTCATCACATCTCCTAACCCGGATCAAGTTAGAATGATGAAGAACATAATTAACCAGACATCAACGGTAACTTCTTGAAAACTAAAAAACTCATGTTAAAGTACAAGCCTGACTCTAAGGCAACTAGAGCAAGTTGTTTACAGTCTTTCTTAAAAAAAATTTTAATCACTTCATATTAAAAGAAAAATACTAATCAAATGCCTGAATCTTATTTTCTTAGGCCAACAGGTTTTGATATTAGAGAAAATTACCCTGCAGTCAACTCATCTTTGTCATTCACTATTGCCAGAAAAGACATGTATAGCAAATTATGTGGGATCACTAAAAATTGATAGTTCTCTGTATCTACAGCAGATTAGGTTCTTGATCAGTTGATGTTAATCTAATTTTGTTGTAATGTAAGGAGCAATCTTCTGAAAGTATAACAGCTTTGTTAGTCAGAGTAAGAAAATTTTCCAAATGGGTTAAATTTTGATTCATCAGAGTTTGTTTTAGACCCTTAAATAACAAACAAAAGAAAAACGAGATTGAATTAAGGAAGGACTTTTAAGGATTTGTTTGGTTGTGATTTACATTTGAGATCCTTAATCAATGTCATCCCCTTGGTTCCATGTCAGAAACTTTTGGACAAAATTAATCCAGATCTTTGTCATTTACAAATCTTGTAAACGCACAAATCAAACTTCTTAAACCCTTGCTAAAATGGTTGGAGCAATTTTCAATATCTTTAACCCTTTATTGAGATTTTGATGATCTCCCCCTCCCCCTTGGACATGCCATTATCCTTAAAATTTTAACTTTTTGCTTCTCAACCCCAATATACCAATATGAAACTATACAAAAATTGTTTTAAAATGCATTCTGGATCATGGTTCAGGAAACTGCTTGTTTTTTGCTTTATCTAATAAAAACATTTTGGGTAACCTAGCCTCCAAAGTGTCCTTTTTCTCTGGTCAAAATTCCAGATATACCTATTCTGCAACTAGGGATGGATCATTTTCATTTTTTTTAAAAGGATCATTTAGTTATGAAATAACAACGAAAAAATAAAAAACGAAACAATTGTTTTAAAATTTTGTTAACAACAACACTTCATTAACGACAATTAATGAAGAGAGGAGGATATAGAAAACTGACTTGAGGGGCATCGGTTCTTACTATTGAGTATTTTTTTTTTAAATATCAAGAAGTTTCAGCTCCCCCACAACTTTTTATTGCATGTTTGAAAACATCCACCATTTGGATTGTTAACAACTACCCTTAGTTAAGGATTGTTAACAAAAGAGGAGAAGAGAGAAAACCGCCCTGAAGGGCATCATTACTTATTATTGAGTAGTTTTAATGAAAATATCAAGATGTTTTAGCTCCCCCACAACTTTTTACTGACCTTTAAGTAAAACAATCGTTTTTTCCAAAACTATCAATTTAAAAAAAAACAGTCGCTTTTTGTTTTATACAAATGATGTTTCTAAAAACAAGTGCCATTTGACGAGTGGGTTAAAAACAATAGATATTTTGAAACTATCGTTTATGAAAACAGTAAAAAAAACAAGCTTTAAACAATCACTTTAAAAAAAGGTTAATAACCCTAGCTGTGACAACAAAGCTAAACCACCTGCAGGAAAATACTCTTTACATCACAACAACAATCTGCTTGATGCCAACCTAGCCTGAAATGTGTCCGGTATAGATATAGTTAAATTTAATAAAAAATTTTGAAGCTGAGACTTCTAGAAGTACCTTAAAAGTAGTTAAAGTGAAGCTTAGTAATCACTCCTCGTATTATTTACTTTCCATATTCCTTTCTCCCTAACTGCTGCCATCTAATTATTATTAAAGAAGCATATGATTTGTTATCAAATGAAAAGCATACCCTTACCATGTTTTATTAAAGAAATAAGAGAAACATTTCTCTGAAATTTTTCTTTGAAAATTTCTGAGAATCTCTTGGGATTTGTTCATCAATTTTACTGATTTTAATGGAAACTGGAAAATGTTTGGGGAACTGGAGAAATTGTTAGGACTTTAATCACTAGATTTATAAATTTTTCAAATATTTAGATCATTCTATAAAAAAATCTCTAGTTCTATCACGAGATTTCCCAAATTTTATGAAAGACTTTGGTGTGTTAAGACGTTTTATAAGTTTAATATAATTTCCTACAGAGTGCAGCAGCTAGAAATGGGCACGTTTTACTTTTTTTCATTTTGATCCTTCACCACTTATGAATGAACCATTTTCATTTTTTTTCAATCACTCAAAAATTAATTGATTTCATTCGTTCTCAAAATTATGGTTTATTTTCCATCTATTTCATTTGTTTTCTATCTTAACAAAAGTGAATAAAACAAACAAAACTGTTTATGAATGATTTTGATTGTTCAAACAATATCAAATGGTTTTTTTGTTTGCTTTCTTTGTTCATTTGTTTTTTAGTTTGGCGAACAATCCTTTTTGTTTGTCCATTGTTCATTTTTTTCCTGAACAACACGTTTTTCACAAAAAAGTTTGATCTCAAAATTTTGTTTGTTTCAAAAAAAGATGCCTATCGCTATCAGCAGCACAATAAAATATTTCTGGAATACTCCCAATAAAATGAATATTTTCTCATGTAAACATCCTTCTCTATTTTAACATTTATATGTAATTCTTTAAAACTTGTGTTTATCCTGCCAGGAAAGTTAAAAAAAGTTTCAAAAGAAAGACCTTATTCATTGCATGTACATTGTATGTTGACATGTCAAATGTGACAGTACATCAAATGAATAATCATCTTTTGGAAAGATTGATGAACTTAGAGGAAGACAGCTGTATTTAACTTGCTTTATTTTTTCAATACCTCTAATTTATATTTTGTATTTGTAAACCGAAAGCAATGACATTTTAAATAGATCAAATTTTACAAACAATAACAGCTTCTAAAGGTTTTAAAGAAATATTTATATTGATATGTTAAATCATGCAGTGATTAACTTAAAGAACTGATGATGTAATTGTCAGTACTTTTCTATAAAAATTCGTGCTGCAGAGACAATTAAGGATATTGACAAAGTCTTGCTTTTTTCTTAATTTTTACACTTAAAAAGATTACAGTTGTTAATCATGCATGAATCTAATTTATTCAAATCAAGCAAGGCTTGAAATTACAAAAAAGGCTCTGAAACCCCTGATTTTTAAGATTGGACAAATGCAGGTTGTACTAGAGAGAAGAAATTCCATTTTTTATGGAAATAAGGTATTACATATACGAAACTTAAAGTGAAGCATATGATAATATTTTTAATCATTGCACAAAACTGTTTACACTAGACATTTTACCTCTCTTCACCAGCGACAATTTTAACTATTGCTTTTTAATCCTTAACAAACTTGGGGGGGGGGGGGCGTTCAGCGCCCCCCTGTAGTTTTTTTTGACCTAACACTCAATTTTGACACTATCACTGTGAAATTTTGTGACTTTTAATGAACAGTAATTTAAAGGATTTTTTGTTAAAAAATATTTTTTTTAATTTGTAGGGTAATACCGACTATACGCAGATTCAGACCCCCCATGGGGTTAAGCTGCCAGATTTCTTTGTACATCATATTTTAGGAATTAACATTTTTGCATTTTCAATTAGGATAAATGTCAACCTTTTTTTTCAGGCATTTGTAATCTTTCTTGAGACATAAATATTTATTCTTTGCGAATACATTTAAACCTTACAAAGTTACAATGGGTTTAAATTGTTGCATTACATGTTTTTTAGTTCAAGTTTAAATTTGTGAACCATCAATTTGAATTTATGTTAATTATGAGAATTTATGTGACTATTCAATTTTGCTGTTTTAAAGTTTATAAAATTCAAACCTTGTCTACATTCTTTAATGCATTAAATTCAAACATTTTATTTACATAGAATAGAGAAATATAATCTGGCATAAGAACTGTTCTTTCAGAGCACTTGAAGCCCTTTTTTATATCAATTTTAGGTATTAACCCTTGCTCTTCAAGCTGCAATTTTTCTTTGCAAATGGTAATCTACGGATTTCTAAACTTAAATTTGCGCAGTTTTTAAACTTAATAAATTTCTAGCTTTATTCCTGGCAAAACTTTTGTCTTTATGATGTCTGGGGTTTTGTAATTTGCAACAAAAAAGTTGGACCTAATTGGTTTTTCCTTTTTGATGTTTATTAGTTCAAACAGATGAGTGGCGGATCCAATAATATATTAGGGGTGATGGAAACTGATGCATGTAGTTTGAAAACATATATTTAATGCTCACTCCTAGAGGGAAACACTAAAAAGATATGAGAAACCCTGATTTTGACCTCTGTATCAACCCTTTTTAGCTTGGCCTTACACTCAAATCACATCATTTTTTTAAGCTATGGCTTATTTTACCAGTTTGAGGGCGAAATTCAAACTAAATATTTATAGTTAGTAAACACTTAACCTTTTTGAATAACTCAATAGACTTTATTTAACCATGTGGAGTTTGTTTCCACCACAGGGGTGAACAATTTAGCTTCATGAGCAGAGGAACATTCTTGCAGGGGCATGAGCAGCCCCTGTATCCACCCCTGAAACAGACAGACACTCAACACTTAATTAAAGCATATTTGTTATTAGGTTACATTCCTTGAATAAATATACTGTTAATTTAGGAAAGAGTGATGCAAATTTGGAGTAATAATCAAGTCTTTTCTAAGGAAAGTCCACTTCAGCCCTTTTATTTTGGAAAGGTATTATCTTTAAATCATTAAAATAAGAACCTCCCAATTATGCATGCAATGCATGTTAGAAGTAACTACACTGAATAAATATTTTGACCTTGCTCTAACTCTAGTATATACATTTTGTTGCCATAGAAATGTCTGCCATATGTTCAAGAAAGTTTATTGAAGACCAACAAATTTTTTATCAAGTACATTTTTTCTTTAAAAAAAATGAAAAGTATAAGAGAGATTATAATATTTTGTTAACACTATTTCTTGCCTGCACATCTGCAGGTGTACTTGTCTCCTCATTTAAACCAAAGTAAATAAATACTAAAGTGTGCCAAACTCTTAGTTGGATAACGCCATTCTATGTCTTAAGTTATTTAGAATAATATTGAATGGCCCTTATAATTTGGTTCTAATTAATTCGTTTACAAACTTTATTTTAGAACTTATGTGAAATTACAAAACACAAACCAAATAATTCCATATGGCCCAAATAGTTGTCTTTATTCTGTCTGTTCCACTTTAGTATTTATTCACGTTGCTTTTATCCAGCATCTTTGCCTTGGTGAAAATGACTTTCCTTGCTTTTAATGGCAAGTCTACTTGCAATTTACTTAGACAGAAGAAGACACCAGCAATAACTTAAATAAATATAAAGTTAAATGGGGTTTGCTTCATTTCGGAATGGGTGGGTGGCCAATTTTGAGGATTTGGAATGAGAAACCAGGATCTGGATTAAAATCTCTAGGTCTGAAGTGTCCTGTTATGCCCTGGGTGGCCTCTTTCCAATCTATGGTGAATATATCCTGAAACCTATATTTTCCCAGCCATGCTTGGGTTTAATATTCTCTTGGGTTTATATATCAATATGGTGCTTGGTTATTTTGCCCAGTGCATCTTCCCCAGTCACAACTTCCTGAGGCAACTTTCCCAAAAGAAATTTCACCAACAGCCAATTTTCCCAACAATAATTTCCCCCATCACTAATTTCCCCAACAGCAACTTCTCCAACAACAATTTCCCCATGCAGTAAATGCAGCAATTTCTCCGCCATGCAGTATAGTATAACATTTTTTCGTTTTTAACATTATTCCAATAAATGGATCTGCAAATTTAAGATAAAAAATTGCAACTTTTCAAATGTGAAAAGTCATCATGCTAACAGTTTAAACAATGCCAGGAAGAAGAGAAATGTTCTGTTGGATCCCAAGTATAAGTTTAACCTACAATCTATGTCAAGGGACAAAACTAAATCATTCTGGAACTGTTAGTCTGAAAATGTCATCATTCATCCTATCACTTTCCAACAACCAATAATAATAATATAAACCAGGCAATTGCGAAGTGTGCAGCTTCTGCTATTAAAGACAGCATATTAGCAATGCTGTGGCCAACCCTGATATTCCAGGCAGGTCAGTTCTGCTTAACTTAGTCTCAGAAATGAACAGAAGTCCTTTTCTAGTTGCTGCTGAGAGACCAAAAATTTCTTAGTCAGCACAAGAATTCTTTCTTCTGTCAAATAGGATTTTACTGCAAGGGGAAATTTTTGTTGGGGAAGTTGCTGTTAGAGAAATTAGTGACTGGGAAAGTTAGTGTTTGGGAAATTAGAGGTTGGGGAAATTGCTGTTGGGGAAGTTGTGACTGGGGAAATTTCCTTGGGAAAGTTGCGCTGGGGAAATGATCTAATGAACACCTAAATTATCATCCCAGCTGAGTACACCTTTCAATATTTATGTATTTTGAGAATTGTGAATCTTAATTGACATGTTTATTTTTCAGAAGAAAATCTTTTATCAAAAATTAAAAGAAACACAAATACAAAATTTAATATTTTCAATATACAGATCGAAACTTGTTCGAACATTATACTAAGATATTTATACATTTGACCCCCCCCCCCTTTTAAATCCCATTGTGGCATTGGTACACTTTTCCTTACCTAAAAGTCTTATCTTCTGTGTCGCATCATCATCAGCTGCAGCAGTTTCAGAAGATTGAAGGAATAAGTGGAAGGTGAAAACCTTGATGCTTTAAATCTCTAAAATAATACTATGACTATCACTACCTTCATAACCAGGCAATAGGCCCCCAAGTGAGCCTTGTTGTTCAAAGAAATCTGCACTTCATTTTAAGAAAAGATCTCTGCCTTGTGTTTATTATCCGTTTCATATCATTTCAGAAGAATAGTTATTCTGGGGAAAACTTCATAAATGATCCATATTTTCCCTTGATGGTTGAATTTATCATTCTGTATGAATTCTACACTCAACATGGCTAATGAAACCATACCCTTGTCTGTCCTGAGATGCCTGAAGTAGATGAGACACTCCTGTTTGGATGAAATCCTAGTTTAAAGAGTTTTCTTGAAACAGCTCAAACCTAGACTTGCTTTAATGTAGGCAGGTCTGCTTTTCTCTATTATCCCTTCAACAGCAGTATTATTGTCATGTATCTCCAATTTAAACCCTACTATTTGTTGTGCTATGTAGTTCCCGCATTCTATTAATTGATCATGATCCTATTCCAGCATTGATATTAGGATTTATCTTTGATATTTAAAAAACAATTATTGAGAACGTAGAGGGTTGCGGGTTTCTTGTGTGTTATTGCATGTAGTTGGGGATTGGTTTGCAATGTAAATTTGTAAATTCTGTACAAAACAGTCTCAAAATATTGTTTTTGTTTCTTAAAAACGAATAAACGCATATTATCATTGAACTTATCAATTCTAGGAGAAAATACGTCCCTACTACTATGGATGGATTGTGCAGAACAACTCCAAGTGGATAAAACATGTTAACCACCATATCTTACTTTCCCAACAGGTTGAAAAAATAACATAATATAAAAACACTTTTGTACAAAACATCTAATCCTGTATGTAAAAAAATAAAAAAGCTGAACCTAATTTATTTAGAAATGATTTAAAAATTATTCATTCTTTCACAGAAAACAAATTTTTACAAAACTTGAATTTGTTTTAGACCTGTAATTTCTTAAATTTTAAACTAAATTCTACTTTTCAGATATGTTAATATTTTTTTAATGTGTTAGAAAGTTTGACAGAACTAAGCCTTCATAGCTTTCCTTATCTTATCTTACCCAACCTGAACCAAAATACAAAGAATCTCATTTGAAGGCATACTATCAAATTTAAAGAAAGCTTGTTGGCCATAATCTAAACTAGATCATATTTAAATAAAGATTTAGTTAGGCACACACTTGAACTAAATTCTCTATTGTCTGTGCCTGGAATAAATGTAAACCCATTCAATCTATAATTTTCAAACAACGCTAAGAGCATTCCTGTAGGTCTACTGAGTTCACAAATCAAGATTTTAGTGAAAGAATTTAGAGTTAGAGACACCCAAACAAAGATAACTAATTTATATTTAAAAAATAGCCAAATAGTTTGGCATTGTATTTTTATCTAACATAAATTAATTTGAATGCATTACTTATATCTAAAAGGCAATTCATAAAGTGTATTCATAAATGTTCTGCTCTTAGCAGACTGCATCTTCTGATGTTTTTATTTTGTATTTCAGGCTGGATTTATTGTCAAAGTTGGAAGAACTCATCAAGGCAACCCATTTGAGGAACCAAATTCAAATATGGTAATATTTAAATGAGATAAAAATATAACATTTCAACACTATCACAATGCTAATTGTCCAACTTGTTTTGGTCTCATCAAGCAGTATTATGTAGCTTTCCTGGTTCGATTTGGTTTAAATTGATCTAATTGGGTTTACCACTCTAATTTGATTGGGTTTACTATTCTATAAAATGTGTACTCTAAGACCTGTTGATTTTAAATTTTCCATGCAAAAGTTATATACTTTGTTAGTGTTAGTGTTATTTACATATAGCATAAGCAGTTAAACACATTATGCAAGTAGTGTATTCATGTAAAAAAGCAATGGAACTGAGTTTCTGCCACAAACAAAAATTGCATAATTCATAAATTTTTACATTGTGAAACTAATGATATTTCAAACTTACACTACTTGATCTATCAGAAGTTAAAGTTTGAAATATCTAGGGTATGTTAAACTGGAATGTAACAATTTAGGAATTATAAGAGAACAGTGAGTTGCTAAAAATCAATTCCTTTCCTTTTACAAATCTCAAGATCTCAAGAATTGAATTTGCCATCATCATTGGTAACCACTTAGAAGCCACCATAGTTTAAGTTAGACCCAAGCAAAACATCAGACAAAACTAAATCTTAGTATACAGAAATGTAATATTTCAGTGCAAAGCTAGAGCTGAGCATGTTCCAACTTTATCTAGCTGTTTCGTTAATGGTTAGTTCCAACCGTTAGAAAAGTAAAATTTTAAGTAGCCGTTAATTTCAAAGTTAAGAATGGCATATCTGTTAACAGCATCTACCATTAAAAAATCGTTAATGGCGAAGCCATTAATGAAAAAATGATTCAAAGTGCCAAAAAAATAGCATTAAAGGTTTGAGGCAGCAAAAAATGGCGATAATGGAATAAACGGCAAGCAATAGTTTTTTCTGTTTGTTAACGGACACTTTTTATTTTTCGAATACCTCAGTTTGTTAAACAGAATTCAGACCAGCCCTGCAGACAGTCTTATTGTCTAGATCTGCACACGGTTTTTTGCTGAGACACCTGTAGTGCATTAATTTAGATTAGGGATTTGAAACAGATAAACAGACTTGCAATATTTGAAACAATCGGAAAAATTTTAGCATTATCTACCTGAAAGGAATTGAGTTTTTACCACAAACTCAAATATTCTAATCTGGCATTTATATTTGCAGTTTAATGTCATAGACCTTTGATATTTTATAAATGAATTCTATTAAATCAAATAATGTAAGTTAAAAATTATAAAGATTTACACCATCAGGTTAGAAAGATAAAGAAATTAGAATATTTTTGTGTGTGGCAAAAACTCAGTTCCTCTATTTTACTCTGAAATTTCTCTTTAAGGAAAAGCTAAGATTAGAGCACATGGCAGCAGCAAATGTTCTACTAGGAGTTGGACTAGTTTTTTCAACTTTAGGAAAAATGGATTTTTTAATAATGAAAGGTCTTGTTTTAACAATTTATTATTTTGAATTTTTAATCTTATAAATTGTATACAGTTGATACAGAAAAATTTTGATTTAAATCTTCTTTTTGTCATCCTTCTTCCTTTCTTCTTTTCTGATATTTCTGATATTCTGATATTTTGTCTAAACCTTTAATTTGGGACACTCGGACCTGACAAGATGATCAGACTTGCAGTTTAAGGCAGAGGGTAGGTGAGGGGCTACCAAGAAGGACGGGTTAGGCAATATTTCAAATATTTTCTTCACTTCGAGTTTTGTCTCCAAATCCTCATTTCGCTAAATTTTTAGGGTTAAAAATGGATCCCACAACATTTGTCCACTGAGAATCTAAATCTAAATGCTGTTAGTGACACAAAGGTAGAGTTGTTAATTGTTTTTGAAAACGATTGTTTTTTGTTTTGTTTTTCAATCGTTTTCAAAAACAATCGTTTTGTTTTAGGAAAGAAACGATCGTTTTTAAAAACAACCCACTCGTTATGAACTTTTAGAAAACAAAAAACGATTGTTTTTATAAAAACGAGTTGCGACCGTTTTTAAAAAAACAATAATTTTTGAAAAAAAGATCGTTTTTGAAAAAAATTGTATTGACAATTATGTTAACGATTGTTAACAAAGGGTCGTTGTTAACGATCGTTTATGAAGGGTTGTGGTTAATGATTGCTAACAAAACGGCGAACTTTATAAAAACTTTAGTTTTTGGAAAAACTATAGTTTATGAAAAAACAAATTACATGCAACATTATTGAATGTCATCTTTCATGAAGTTTAACAGTTGTGGGGGAGCTAAAACTTCTTGATATTTTCTACTCAATGAACTACTCAATGATTAGTACAGATGCCCTACAGGTCGGTTTCCTCTCTTCATTAACGAAAGGTTGTTGTTAACGATCATTTATAAAAACGATTGTTTTGAAAAACGAGTGTTTTGAAAAACAAGTGTTTTGAAAAACGAGTGTTATGAAAAACGATCGTTTTAAAAACGACCATTTTTAAATAACGAACTTTTAAAAAAAACGATTGTTTTTTAAAACAGTCGTTTCATTTTCTATTTTTCGTCTTCGTTTTCATAACAAATCGATCGTTTATCAAAAGAATGAAAACGTTAACATCCCTTCACATAGGCAGGGTTGAGGTAAGGGTTTCCAATTGGAATCTTGTTGCTCGCAATGGTTGCTTCTACTTGGGCTATTTCATTGCACGCAACTGTGCTATAATTGCTAAAAAGGAAGCAATTAAATATTCGCAGATTTGCGTGGAATTGCGCGGAATTGCGCGGAATTGCTTGCATCGGAATTGCTTTTCTATCTAAAAATCAATAATTTTAACTTTTCGACATACAAATTTATGCAGCAGATACAAGAATGGAATTAAATATCTCTGTTGATTTTAAAATAATCGAGGCCTAAGTGTCTGCACTTGTTTCAACAGTTTTCAAATTTTAAAGTTTCTTGTGTTTAAGCTACTAATTAACAATTTAATATGTTAGATTTTTCATTTCTTAACATTGAAGAACGTTAAAATGGAAACTTTTCTTGGTTAAAATTGCAAGGTTTGTTTAATCAAAATTAGATATTTTGCTACAGTGAGAACCAGAAAACTATCGTACAGAAAGACAACACAGTGTATTTGATCTTGTTACAAGTCAAACAAAATTAATTTAACTTATTAAATCACTTGTCCAGTTACATGGCTCTGATTGAGACTAAACTGTCGTCTTACTAAGCAAGAGATTTCTGATTACCATGCTGCACATCAATATTATAAAACAAAAGTTTAAATTCAATTTTCTTAGCATTTTAGATTGAAATGATAGTGAAGTTCAGTTTATTGTATTTGAATGCCACTTACCAAAGTTTAAATTGAATTTTTTGTTTTTGAAAGGAATTGCGCAATAATTGGTTTAAATTGAATTTTATCAAAATATGGAAACACAAATGCAAGAAAGTGGGACGGAATTGCGCGATATAGCACACAATTCCGTTGCTTATATTTGCATGCAAGTAAAATCTACTTGCGTCGGAAACCTTAGTTGAGGTGTATGAGTTCAAAGTTTGGAGTAGGTTAGAAAGGGAGGAAATAAGAGGGAATTACTGGTCTAAATTTCTTTGAAAATGAGCTAGCCTTGACAAAGGGGGTTTTATTACATCTTCACCTAATTAATCCATTATGTTTTAACAGTTTTTTGTTTTGAACTTCTCTACTTTAAGATAATGATGAAAAATAATTGATATTATTGTAAACTATGATTAGTCAAATAAATTTCTGAAATTCAGCAAGATAAAAGTGTGTGTTTTTAGTTGGCATAGAGTTACCATGTGCCATTGAGCAAATGAAAGTTAGTTAAATACCAAAATGCACTGTAAATATTAAAACGTAGTAAAAAAATAAGAACTTTTGGAAAAGCGAATCACAGAGGTTTATTTTAATAAATTGTCTCTAAATTATGAATATTTTGAAAACGGCAAAAATAAAAAAAATCCACATTTCTTTATTATTTTTATAAGAAAAACTGAATGCAGAACAATATTTTTAAAACTGTTAATGATGCAAGTCATTATTATAAAAAGTGGATACAAATATAACAATTTCAGGATACATATTCGCGCCACCTTTATTTTAGAGTAGACACCAATTCATTTCATAATTTCTGGATAAACTTTTTTGTTTGATTTTTTGAATAGTTTGAAAAAACTTCCACATTAATTATACACATATTAAGTTAATTAAATAAAAACACAAACAGAAAAAAAAATTGGTAATTATAATTTTTAGCTTGAGATTAACAAACTTTCTTTATTTCATTTCACATCAGAATATATTTTTTTTATTAAAAAAAATTACAAATCAATGTCAAAAGAATTTAATTTTTAATCAACAATGAAGGTATATGTTTTTACATTATTTTTGTAATTTTTCAAATTTCATTTGTTGAAAAAACATATCTTTTACAAATAAACTTTAAAAAAGGATAAAATACTTTTAGTTTTCAAATAAACATAATTTTTGAATATTATGTTAAAAAAATTAAATTAAGAAACAAATTTTAAACAATGTTGCTGATGTATATTTACAGTGTACCTGTAATTTTAGTTTTAGGTCCTCAAACCATTGAAACTTGATCAAAATATTTCTTTTAATTGGTATTCAGAATATGTATACAGTACTTACTCAAGTTTAGTGAGAATCCTTTTTACTGATTATGCAACAGTTGGAATGTGCTCTTTTAAAACTCTCAAATTAGAGATATTTTAAACAAGGTATTTCAAGTCTTCTTTATTTTAGTTTTAGTCTAAAAAGGTAGAGACTATAACATTTTTAAAATACAGATTCACTAAAGTAGTTTAGACTTTAGATTCAATATACACTCAGACATATATACACAATACACATAGACATATATGAACAAAAACACAGACATATATACAAACAGAAATATTTACAGGTAGTAACTGAGAGTTTTGCAGGGGGGAGGGCGCACATTGTTAGGGG